CATCTAAGAAACATCTGGCTGCCAAGATGTGTTCTATCCCAGAGCTTTTCTTGTTGATATGTATGGAACACCTGCAGAGGTAAATCATCTGTAGTCTTTGCTCAAAGGTCCACTTCTCTACCCTCACCTAAGAAAAACTGATTTTGAATCTCTCAGGCTGGTCGGTTACCTCACTTAGTTAGAACGTGGTAGTGATTTTGAATCTCTGGGGAGATATGGAGGGATGGGCATTTTTAATGGCACTGTGTGAGTATCCGATAATCTCTGATGTCTGACATGTATGACTCATATTAGAAGATCACGTGAGAAAGTATTTAGAATTAGGAATGTGTAAGGCCTTTCTCAAGTTTATTTGTGAAAATAACATACACAAAGAGTGCATAAATCTGATCTGTCATTCTCAAATAATAGTAACATAATAAAAATGCATATCACTTCCCAGAGGTTAAAAGTATAGCAGCGGCATCCAAATAGAATCTACCTTAAGGGTGTTCTTCTCACCAAAGCTTCTCCCCTCATGGTGGTCAACACTGTCCTGAAATTGTATTTTTTATTTTATGAGATGTTTTTCTATTAGGTTGACACCTATGAAATTGTCAGTATTCGAACTTATTTGCTCTAGGAAACTATCAATAAGGTTAAAACTCATTGTGTATCACTGTTTTTGTCTAGTTTATAATTTTCCTTTTTTCAAACCTGTTAAAAGTTTAATCTTTAGGGCCAGCCCAGTGGCGCACTGGAGAGTGCGCCGCTTGGGAGCGTGGCGGCGCTCCTGCCAAGGGTTCGGATNAGGAAACTCATTGGTAGGACACCTTCCCTTGTGTGACTGTGTCATCTGCTTTGGACTGAGGATTCTAGAATGAGTCAAAGTGACAGAAATACTGGGTGAGCTGTGGTTCCTGACTCTTGCATTACCAACTTGTTCCATAGTTACTAGAGAACATAATGTGTAAGTTCATTTTAACTTTGGGTTGAAAGCTGACTTGCTCACTGTACAGCTCTGTGATGTTTCAAACATGAGTTCCATTTTCTAAGCTCAGTTTCTTTGTCTGGAGTCATCTTCTTTTCTTAGAAAACTTCTGATGGATTTATTTATAATAATATATCTAAGTTTTGCTTTTCTCATTCATCTTGTCTTTCAGTATTTCTTACTCATCCCTGGCAGAGTCCACACAGAGAAATGTAACTGAATAAAGTTCATGGCATCATTAATGTTTTAGAGGATTGGCTGCAGACTTAGGGCTCTCTTGCAAAATGTTTAAATGCATATTTATG